GATCATGTTACTTAAGATGATGCCAAACTGCATTAATTCTACTGTGTAGATGCATCCCTAGTCTCAGGGTCACATTAAGTCATATGTTTTACATGTATTTTGAAGTCGCGCTCCCTTAAGTCATATTTGTCAAAGACAGTGTTTTGTTTCCGCTAGGCATCTTGAACCATGGTGGCTCTCCACTTTGCTTCTTAGAATCAGGAAATGTTATCCTTGTGGGCTATAGCTCACAGAGCCTTTTGGGGATAGGTTTCCAAGTTTTGTCTAATCCAAGCCAAATTTCACTGCCAAAGCCCTGTGTCACATCTCGTTGTATCCATGTTTTCTCCATTACCATATTGTGTGGTGGCTTCCAAAGTGGGTTTGTCAGCAAATTGGCTACAACTGCATGTTTATGTTGAAAACCCACAAAAAAACACAATCCCTACAAGTTAAAAACGTTTAGAAAGAGATGCACACTGTATTGAATGTGTTTATTATAGCAGAGCTGTAAGTCAACCACATCCAGTAAGTGCGAATAGAAATTGATAAAGTATTGAGTCCAAAGTAAATTATGTGCTGTGTGTACTAGTAGTCCTGTACTTAATCCTTACATTTCCAGATTCCTGGGAAGATCCTGTTGTGAAATCATTGGAAATAACTGGCAGTAATGGTAGACAAGACTGAGTTAGATAGGCCAGCCATTTAATTTGGTTTAAGGCAGCTTCCTGCATTTAATCTAGATGTCTGCTGACTTGATAGTATACTGAATATACTATCCTCTGTATATACAGTAGACTCTTGGTTATCCGACATAAATGGGCTGGCAGAATGTTGGATAAGCAAAAATGTTGGATAATAAGGAGGGATTTAGGAAAAGCCTATTAACCGTCAATTTACATTGTGATTAAGCACCAAAATATCATGTTTTACAACAAATTGACAGTAAAAGCAGTTCAATACACAGTAATATTATGTAGTTATTACTATAGTTATTACCAGTTGTTCTTCTGGGAGCAGGATTGGTGCCCACTTTGATGGGCACCTATTGGATCAGACAGAGGGCATCAGGCAACTATTCTTTCCCTCCCTTCTTCATCAACTTTTCCTTGAGAAGGAAAGAGAAAACAGTGGAAAAACACTGGAAGCTTGCAAATGGAGAACACTTTCCTCTGAGGAGTTGTGTGGAATAGTGATTGGAGTGTTTGAACCACATCTCCGGTGGGCAAGGTTCAAATCTCTACTTGGCCATGAAAACCTACAGGGTCACCTTACACAAGTTACATATGCTCTGCCCCAGAAAATAATGTGATAGGTTTGTTTAAATTTCATCACAAATTGAAAACTACGTGAAGGCACACAACAACAATATCATGTAGGCAACTCCTATGGAAAAGGCAATACAATGGCATAATAAAAGCATCTACAGTGATCTATCTATTTGTCTTGAGTTGGTAGTGAAACTTTTTTCTGGCCTCTCTCACAACAGCAGATTTTAGAAATGGAGACAATATGAATAGGTTTCTGATTTGATTTTAATTTCTTCCAATTTTCAGTTGGACTCCTGTAGATTTATGTGGCAATGATGGGAGCAATTGTGATAGAATTCACCCTAAAAGAAAAAAAAAAGTATTTAAAATGGGACATAATGTTGTTTTTGCCGTTTGCTTTTTTTCATGCTGAGGGTGACATACACATTTTTAAAATGCCCATTTAAAAATGTTCATGTCTGATGAGCTTGAAAAATGTTGACTCTTTTGTTGCCAAAAGGCAGAGCCCAGTTGCTGCAATTTGCTGTGGTCGGGGAATGGCTCGCTTCCAGGGAATTTCAGGAAATGGCCTCTGTTTCACCTGGAAACATTAGCAACCCTGAGGGCAGGAGTATGGCTATATAAAGGAAAATGGAAATGAGCTCCCTTGGAGCCAAGCTCCTGGCCGAAAATAGCTCTGGAAGCAGATGCGAACCTGTATTTATGCAGTGTACACTACTGATAGACGACTCATAAGAAGCTTGACTAAAAATATCAAATGTTATTTATAGGACTTCAAGTCCTATTATGACTAGGTAATTGTTAGACTTCTTAGGTAAGGGCTTTGAAGATGCCTTACTTTGAGTTTGTCAGCAGCCTTTCCTTTGAAAGGCAGATGTCTCATAAGGAATGTCCATCCAATGAATACATTCGCTGATGGAGTTAGAGCATGTGTTGGTGGAGCCAAAGCACAACGGGGTGGAGTTTGTAGCACCGCAAAGCCATACAGCTTGAGCATCCTCTTATCTGGACTTTCAAAATTCCAAATACTCCCAAATCCAAAAATATTCGCCTGGATGACTGAGATGGTGACACTTCTGCTTTCTGATGTTTCAATTTACACAAACTTTGTTTTGTGCACAATATTATTTTAAAAGATTGTGTATAAATTGACTTTCAGGCTTTGCGTATATGAAACATCAATGAAATTCATGTTCAGACTTGGGTCCCATCTCCAAAATGTCTCCTTATGTATATACAATTATTCCAAAATCACCCCAAATCTGAAATACTTCTGGTCCCAAGCATTTTGGACTAACTTGTATGACATTCTTCATTATTACTTTGTGTTGGCTTTCTTTGGGCCACATTGCAAGTTAAGCAGGCCTTGGGCCACCCCTAGAGCAAGGTGGAGAACTCCTTGAGGTTCAGAGGCCACACGTTCCCCGCTTGCTGGGTCTTACAAACAAAGACACAACTCTGTGGCCCAGATAATTCACTGGAACTTATGTCACAAGTACCACCTGCCAGCAGCAAAGAATTGGTGGGATCATAAACCCGCAAAGGTCATGGAAAATGAACATGCAAAAATCCTGTGGGACTTTCGAATCCAGACTGACAAAGTTTTGGAACACAATACACCAGACATCACGATTGTGGAAAAGAAAAAAGTCTGGATTATTGATGTCGCCATAGCAGGTGACAGTCGCATTGAGGAAAAACAACAGGAAAAACTCAGCCGCTATCAAGACCTCAAAATCGAATTGCAAAGGCTCTTGCATAAACCAGCACAGGTGGTCCCAGTGGTCATTGGCGCACTGGGTGCAGTGCCAAAAGATCTCAGCCGGCATTTGGAAACAATAAACATTGACAAAATCACGATCTGTCAACTGCAAAAGGCCACCTTACTTGGATCTGCGCGCATCATTCGAAAATACATCACACAGTCCTAGACGCTTGGGAAGTGTTTGACTTGTGATTTTGTGATACGAAATCCAGCATATAGATCTCGTTTGCTGTGATATGAATTTAATAATAAATAAATAAATTTATTTATACCCCGCCACCATCTCTCCAAAGGGGACTTGGGCCAAGCCCAAGCCCAAAATCACAACAAATAACAAACAAATACCACAAAATAAAATACAGAGAAGCAAAATACCATTAAAATAAATACATAACATAACAAAATAAAATAAACAGTTCCAAAATGGCATGATAGAGAAATGGGACACAGTAGGTGGGCCAAATGAACTAGAAGTAAAATTGATAGAATTTATAAAACCCTGGATGAGATAGGTAGAATGTGTTTCTAAGGGAGAATGTGTTTCTGAGGGGGGAACTCAAGGGGCCAAACAGTGGGATTAAACCTTCATTAAGGGCGGAAGGAAAGTGCATCATGAGAATGGAGCTGTAATTGGGACAGACTAAAATGGAATATATATTCACTCACCAAAGGCACATCGGAAGAGCCAGGTTTTTAGGTCTTCCTTAAAAGCTGCCAGAGTAGGGGCTTGCCTGATCTCACTAAGCAGCGAGTTCCAGAGTGAGGGGCCACAGCAGAGAAGGCCCTCTTCCTCATCACCGCAAGTCATACTTGTGATGTATGTGGGAGTAAGGGGAGGGCCTCCCTAAGGATCGAAGAGCTCGTGCAGGTTTGTGGTAGGAGATGCGGTCACAAAGGTAGGCAGGTCCCGAACCGTTCAGGGCTTTATAGGTGATAACCTGCACCTTGAATTGGGACTGGAAGATGAACGACAACCAATGAAGCTCCTTAAACAGAGGGGTAGACTGCTCCCAGGGGGTAGACCGGGTCTTAGAGGGCCACCCCTACTGGTAACCATACAGTTAGTTTAGCATAGGACCAAAATCCCTCCCCATGGTGCCCAACCTTGATATATGGAAATTATAGGCCTGGCATTGGATGCTGCTTCAGCACTGCCAACAGGACAGTGTCTTCTACTGCGCTGGAGTGCAGTTAAATCTAATTTAAGGGAGGGAGATCAGCACTGGTTTATGTTGGATTATCATACCTAGAAGCCAAGTCACAAGGTCTTTTGGCCTTTCCTGTAATGCAAAGAATTCTAGGAGCGAGGGAGGCCTCTCATGTGCCTGTTCAGACCCATAAGTTCCATGGGCAGCCTTTTGGATTTCATATATAAGAGCTGGATGATAACAGATATATTGATTGGTTCTATGATAAACTGCCCAAGATGTTTCCTACTACTTGCGGTGGCTAGCTAAGAACTTTATGTTGTGTGTTGTATGTGCCCAGCCATCAGAAATCACTCTAATGAATGGAAGGAAGGAAGGAGGGAGGGAGGGATGGAGGGAGGAAAGAAGGGAGGGAATGAATGAATGAATGAATGAATGAAGAAAGGAAGGAGAGTTGGAGAGTTGTATCTGCAATTCTCCCCAGTGACTGGCAGATAATGTGTAGTCTCTCCGTTGATCAAGCCTGACATTAGCCACCTGCTGTTCTGCCTTCAATGAGCAAAACAGTTCTACCTTCCTAGTCTAATTTCCAGACTAGGCACCATAACTTATGGCATTCTAAGGTGATAAATGCAACCTTCCAAGGCTGGATTTGGACTCAGCCCCATCTTGACCCTGCCGTTGGTATTATTTACTAAAACACTACTGTGATTTTTAATTGATAGAATTGACAGGGTATCTGTATCACTATGAAATTGACACAGTAAAATATTATATAATTATGAATAATACATGGATGCATATGTAAATATCTTTCCCTCATTTTTGTCTTTTCAGCCACCGCTGGTCCAAGCAATTTTCAACGGTGATCCCGAAGAGATACGTATGTTAATCTACAAAACGGAAGATGTTAATGCTCTGGTAAGTGCTGTTTTTTCCAGTCCTTTGTGTTCTGAAATTTGATTAGCTGATTTCAGATTTCATTGTACGAGGGAGAAACGCTGAGATGAGATCTGTATCCAAGTCCAGAATCCCATTCTCTGTGATTGCTGCGATTCTCTGTGCTCAGAACCACTGCACTAAACTATTCTAACACTGCGATTCCAGTTCAACTACTATGACAACATCTCATTAAATTCTGGGATTGGTTATGTAGGGATTTGAGAGTCCTCAACCAGATAAAATGTAAAGGTAAAGGTTTTACCCTGACATGAAGTCCAGTCGTGTCCAACTCTGGGGTGTGATGCTCATCTCCATTTCTAAGCCGAAGAGCTGGCATTGTCCGTAGACACCTCCAAGGTAATGTGACTGTATTGAGCTCCGTTACCTTCCCGCTGGAGTGGTACCTATTGATCTACTCACATTTGCATGTTTTCGAACTGCTAGGTTGGCAGAAGCTGGGGCTCACCGCACTCCCTGGATTCAAACCTGCGACCTTTCGGTCAACAAGCTCAGCAGCTCAGTGCTTTAACCCACTGCGCCACTGGGGGCTCCTCAACCAGAGAGCTCCTCTATTGACTCAACAAACTAAAAAAAAACCCTCTCCTGATTTCCAAAGGGAAAATCATGGCTGCTAGTGGAATCATAGTGTTATAACTATGCAGCGTATAGAGGGATCCTTCAGTCTAAGAACAGAAGTGACAGACAGAACAGTCTCAGTAGGCTGTGAGTTGAAAAAATGCCCATCTAAGGCTCAGAACCTTTTGTGAGTGTAGACCTAGACCTACTTGTGAATAAAGCTTACAAGTAAGAATTTTCCAAGATCCTGCTCACAGTCTGTACCTGCTTATAGTCCTCAGGGGAAGGGAGGCTCTAAGAGGGCAAAGAGGAAGAGAGGTTGCAAAACTGTGTCTGTTTTCTTGCTCCAGACTTTTGTTTAGCAGCTCCTTGTCTATCTTGTTTGAGAAATATCAGTTTAGTAGAACCAAACCTATTCACTGACCCCTAACTTTGCAACCTTGGCACACTGAACCGCATTCAGTGAACATCCAAAACTGATTGAAGCTGTACTTGAAAGTTAGAAGTCCTCCAGTTGTTGCTTAAATTGATGATCCATTTTCTCTAGCTATTTGTTAGAACAATTGATGATCAATTTAACTAATTTACGACGCCATAAAAAACTCACCAGCAGGGTGCAAAAAGAATGAGGAAGTACTCCATCGGAGTCACAAGTGGATGGTGAAGCGACGGCTCCCCCGGTGGCCGGAATTCAAAAAGCATACCCTCATGAAAGCTGGAAAGTTAAATAGCCCCTGTGTCTCTGTCTATATATGTTTTGTGTCTATGGCATTGAATGTTTGCCATGTATATGTGCATTGTGATCCGCCCTGAGTCCCCTGCGGGGTGAGAATGGCGGAATATAAATACTGTAAATAAATAAATAAATAATACATTTGCTCTAGCTATTTGTTAGAATAAAGGAGGAACCAGGAATGAGATCAGAAGTATTTTGCAGCCAACTCACCAAGGGTGTAATTTGTTGGCCTTGCCCTTGAGCGTAAAGGTGCTCTTTTTTGAACTTTTAGTATTCACTGTCAAATTGATGACTACACACCTCATGGCAAAAGCCAGTAATTACTATTACAGAATAAGACAGGACTACACAGAGAATGCTTTAGACAGAATTAATAATATTATTAATTATTAATTAATAAATATATTATTATTATTATTATTAATAATAATAATAATAATAATAATAATGAATAGTAATAATAGCAACAACAACAACATACTTTATTTATATTTCATCCTATCTCCCTTAGGGGACTCGGGGCAGATTACAATATACATATACGGCAAACATTCAATGGCATTATACAATTAACAAAGACAGACAGTACATAAACAGAGGTAAAGGCTTCACATCTTTTCTCCTCTCCGGCATCTGAAAGCTGTGTTCAACTCCGGCCGCGGGGAGGGGGGGGGGTGTCACTCTATCTTCCATGCCGAGGAGCTTTGTTGTCCTTGGATGCTCTCCTGATTGAATCTCTGGCAAGTCCACATGGGCATCTTTTATTACCTCCCCGACAAAGTGGTGCCTATTTATCTACTCAAATTACTGTTTTCGAACTGCTAGATGAAAAGAAGCTGGGCTGACATTTGGGAGCTCACCCCAACCCGGGCTTGATTTTCTGCAGCTGGCAATTTAACATGCTGTGCTAAAACCCGGCCCTATAATAGCTGATTACTCTTCTGATTATTACCATCAATATCTGGCAACTGTCTCATTTGGTAAAGTTTTTGAAGTTATCGTTCTGATGAAAGGTTTTGTCCCAAACATCTGTGGAATCTGCATTGAGCAGTCAAAAGGAATGAAGATGCTCCATATCTTCCTCTTCCTTCTTTGTTGTCTGACATGATAAATGTTTTTTCTGTCTAAAGCATTTTCTGTGTAGTCCTGTCTTATTCTGTAATAGTAATTACTGGCTTTTGCCATGAGGTGTGTAGTCATCAATTTGACAGCGAATACTGAAAGTTCAAAAAAGAGCACCTTTACGCTCAAGGGCAAGGCCAACAAATTACGCCCTTGGTGAGTTGGCTGCAAAATACTCAAGGTCGTGTCTGTTTATGGCAGAAATAAAGATAAGCACATCCTTGACATCAATAAAACAAAGAGTATTTCTTTTCCCAGGAGAGACTGAGTAGGGAAAGATTTTGAGAGGAGTGGTGGTGTTTCTTTGTTGTTGCGAGGGCACTTGAAGCAGCTAACAGCATACACTTTTGTAGACTTGTATTGATTTTGTTAGATGTGTGAAGTGTTATCTTTAATTGAATATATGCACATTTTGCTGAGAAAAATGTTAATAGGAGGTAAGAAGGAAATAAAAAAAAAAAAAAAAAAAAAGAGGCTGTGATTAAGTATGTTGAGGCTTAAGCCCCTCTACGGAGGTTAGAGAAGAACAATATACAAAAGTTTTAAATAAATAAATAAGAATAAATAAATAAGTATTTACAACATGCACACATAATTGGTGAAAACGGAAACATTGCTAAGTCAATGAATGCCTCTAGCACAATTTGAAGTGATGTTGTTGATGATGATGGTGGTGGTGATGATGGTGATATTAACAACAATCACAATTGTGTTGTCGAAGGCTTTCATGGCCTTAATCACTGGGTTGCTGTAAGTTTTCTAGGCTGTATGGCTATGTTCCAGAGGCATTCTCTCCTGACATTTCACCCAATCACAATTGTTATTGTTAAAGCTAGTTGAACCTATTGATGTTGTAATTCAGCAATTTCACTCTTGCCTTTGACTTTCCTTTATTCAAGAATGAACAAATAAATCCATTTAAAATCCTTGCTTCTTGGGCTAGCTTTCACTTGAGCATGTGGTTTGGTTCATAGATACAATGTCAGGTCATGCTTTGAAATGATGTCAGTGAGCCCTTGTTGTCCTCATGTATGCTCTCTTCTAGCATGCCCTGCTTCATAAATAACTTCCCGATTTCCAGAAAATCATAATATATTTAGTCAGAACTGGCAGCTACAGTTAACAGGAGTCCAAGAAACTAGCACTGTCTAGTTGAAACTATGGTTTGCCAGTTGAGATTTAATAGGAAATGATAATGGTGACTATAAAGCCCAGTAGGGAAGCGGGGAAGAAGTTATTAAGAGAGACAATTCTCAATCTTTGGTTTGGCATTCCATTTGAATTGATCCTCTGCAGGCTTTCATGCCACCATTAAATAGCCCTTTCTGTGCAGGATCTCAGCAAGTCTCAACCATTTCAACATAGTTTGTGGCAGCCACAAAAGCAAAGTTTCTGGAGTAGAACAAGTACTTTCAACGTAAGTACTTCACAGTGAAACAGGAAATAAAACTTTCAAACCAGGAACAGATACGCTGAACAGATTCCTTCTACGCTGCAGAGACACAGATACCATCCCACAATTTCTCGCAGCCAAAAGGACTTTCAAAACACCACAGGCTCACCGGATCTATGAGGGGCTGGAACGCAACCTCTTACGAGAGAGAATCCGCAAAGAACTCGCAAACACAGACAAGGAACTGCTGCACCTCCATATCAACATCAGCCAGATGCCTAGTTCCAACAGACCTCACTACCTCTGGGGATGCTTGCCATAGATGCAGGCAAAATGTCTTAAACGTCTTAAACAAACCTACAACAACCCAGGAACAGATCATTTTTCAAATTTTGTTATATGGTGTTATTTGATGAAGCTGGTGCAGGCTTGCCGTGTGGTAAACCTTGGCACTAAAGAAGTTGAATATAAGGATCTGCTCAAAGTGTGGATGGCTTGAGTATGTCTCTTTTGCCAAGATCTGGAGTAGAACAATGAATGAATGAATGAATGAATGAATGAATGAATGAATGAATGAATGAAGCTTTATTTATAGCTCACCCTATCTCCCCAAAGGGACTCAGGGCAGCTTACAACAAAATATACAATGGCAAACATTCAATGCCAACAGTAATATATAAACAAATCAAAACAACTCCATAAATTATGAAACAACATAGATAAACAAGACAATTACTTTCAAAGTCATCATCAGTGATTCCTCATGTCCGAGTATGATTGCCTTCCAAGTGTAGTGTCTTGGCAGATGGTCTGTAGGTGACTGTAGGTGACAATTAAACAGGAAAATAACACTTTCAAACCAGGAACAGATTTTTTTTCCAAATTTTGTTGTATAGCGTTATATATGAACTAAGAATTGTAGTTTAAAAGAAATCCTAGTTGATTGCCAAATAAGGTGATAGCGAATTCTGGCTTGTTTTGATTACTTGTTTTCAGAATCACAATTCCTAGTTTATAAATAACAGTAAACCAGAAATCAGGGAAAGTGATACTGAATCATGGTATGTCCTCCTCCTGGCTCCATAAGACAATCGGTGAGAAAGAGGAAGGGAGAATTGCTTTCCTTGGGCTCACAGAGGATCATGCATCTCT